CTCAAATTGATGAAGAAAAGTGGTAGTTGTAGTGGTATTGTTGAAATATATTTCATTGCTCCCATCCTTGGCACCACCTCCACCAATACACTTCAGATTGTTCATGTATCCTAGACTGAGAGAATCAAGTTGAGGGAACAAGATGGTGCTTGTGTGGGTAGATATAGTCATTTCTTCATCCTCATCGTCTCTGTTTGAAACAACTTCTTCAATACCAACACACTCGTTTATCATGACTTCCTTTAGGTTGGAAAGAAGCTCTGCAATGAGAGGTGAAAACAAGTACTTAATGCTTTTGCACTCGTACATGTATATGGTTGTGAGGTTGTGGAATGGGGATTGTGATTGTTGTTTTGGGAGAGCAAAGAATTTATTCCAGTTACACTTCCACACATGACTCATGTTGCCCATCTTCCTTAGATTCAATTCCTCGAGGTTGGGAAGTATAAGATTTTGGTTATGGTGAGTTGTTACCAATTCTCTACTTGTTGGACTCTCTATCTCAAACACCACCTCCACTCTTTCATAATCCTCCAACACAAGTTTACGGAGGTTATGAAAAGAGTGTATGGGACAGGATGCGAATACACCATTAGAAATACTATTAGTCCCTTCTTGTAATGTCTCTTCCTCTGACAAAATATCAGTCTGTGCACATATAGCCCAACAAGAAATGTAATTAGTAACTTGGGTACTGAATTGTTTTATTTATTTATAATTCCAAGTCCATTCATAATTATCTCTTAAATGTCAAATCCTGTTACTTTTACTTATTTCGGATTACAGGTTTTTTTGAGCCAAATATTTTTTTGTTAGATAATGACATTTTAAGTTGATAACTTATTAAATCTATTATTTTTTTACTAAAAAGTAAAAGGTGATATTTATAATGATATATTACCTAAAGTTAGATGATGAAAAGTTAGTTGTAATTTATTACGTTTTGAACTATTTTAATCTTACTGTTGTAATGATGATCTCTAATGAAAAGTCATGTTTTATACTTAGTCAAGATATATATATATATATATATATATATATATATATATATATATATATATATATATATATATATATAAAGTTAAACAACATTTATAAATTACTTGTATTGCAACCATAATTCAAGAAATGGTTTGTCGCTTAACGGTTAGTAATATTTCGTTCTAGTTGTGATGCCTAAGTTTAGTCATCCCACCCCTTTATTATTCATAAAGTAGGAGCTTAATCCTTAATTGAGTAAGAAAGTGAAATTGAAAGCCATACCTGCTCTTCCTCTTGTCTACTCTCTTCCGATTCATGATTTCCCCTGTTTTCTTTGTTTTCTCTGCAGTCATATATCAAAATCTCTAAAAGTGCCCCCAGATCAAAATTGGTGGTGATAGGTGTGAATACATTTCTAAACCTCTCACATTCTCGAATATATATGCGTTCAACTGCTTGAAAGCCACGAACGAGAGGACGAGAGTTATCTGCACCTTTTATCCTCCAAACCTCTCTTAGCTTCCCTAATTCCACCGCATTAATGTTTCTCAAGTTGTTGTTGTCTTCTGGCCCAATTGCACCATCACAATCCAAGTCGATGTTGAATAACGATTCAATGGAACTGCATTTCTTGACATTAAGCTCCTCAAGATGATGCAGCAGAGACATGGGATTGTGCGGAAATAGATTCACAAGTTTATCACAATTTCTCAATTCAATCTCTCTCAACTTAACTTTCTCACCTCTACTAAGTTCACAAGGCCATATTTCCTCTAAGTTCTCCATGTCATCAATTTGAAGTGTCTCTAAGTTAGGAATCACAACCTACAAAATAATCATCTGTTAGTAGCCACATCCAAAAAAATAATATATCATGCAATCAAATTACAAATATATTTTGAAATATTTAGTTAAAAAGATTGTTTAAATTGTATTAGCATAAAGAACATATATCTACCTCTTCCTTCAACAAACTACACGTTTCCAACTTGTTCTGCGGATAAATGCTTGTGAAACCTGGAATGCCCTGAAGTTTCAACTCTACGAGTTGTGGTAGCTCAATTATGTTGACATTAAGGCACAAACCTAATAACTTCGGTAGTCCACCTAAATATAAAAACTTCAACTTAGGGAATGTAATTGTCTCTTCTTCACTAGCCCCAATTCCAGTATGAATGAGTTCTTCCATATTATCGCATTCACAAATTTCCAGATGCTCAAGACTTGACAAAGTGTTTGCAACACAGAGTTTGAAAAGGTATCTCAACTCTATACACTTTGAAACTACAAGGACTCTTAAATTGTAGAATGAAAAGGATTGAGGAGGATGTGTCGACTTCACCTTAACATCTTCAAGATCATTCATTCCATCTATGCTTAAACAAAGCACCTCTGTTTTCACAAACAACTCATTAAAATTAGAGTCGAATACTTCACCCTTTTTGGTCACCAATTGCAACGTGTTTTCATATGAGTGGCTACTCTCAGTGATATTTCCAATTAATAAAGGGCATCCCACTGAGATCTTGAATCGTTCAAGATTCTCAAATGACATATTCTTCACTTGAGATTTGTTATTAAAGAACTCAAATTCTAACGTAGAAAGGTTATTTGAACGCTCTGCCATCTCATTGTAATTAGCCTCTGTAAACGCTGACGTATTTCCAATATAAAGTTCTTCAAGTTTGACCAAATTTTTCAAGACACCCTGTTCTATACGAAGACGATCACAATATCTCAGATCTAGTAGCCTTAGCTTTTTTAAATTTCCAATTGTGGAAGGTAACCATTCAATGTTAGAATTAAAAAAGCTGAGGACTTCCAAATTCAATAGCTTTCCAATACAAGAGCAATCAAACATCCTTAATGAACATTCATGGAGATGAAGCACTCGGATGTTGGTGGAGCATTGAGGTGACGAGGGAAGCAATGGATACTTCATTTTATCATATGATATAACCCGAAGTTTTTCCATTGCTTGATAAAAGTCTTGAGGAAACCTTAGAGACTTATCTCCATGCATAAGTTTCAAAACTGTTAGGTTTGGAAACTTAAGGTCTCCTGGAAACTCAAACCCATACATACTCTTGCATGTTAATGAAATTGTATTGCAAGAGTCAGCCATATTATATTCGGTCCATCCAGGCATATTACCATGGTTGACAATTGAAGCATGCTCGACTGTACAATACATATCCAAAACAAAAGTGCGCACCAGATCGTGTATCTTGACGCACCGAATATCATTACTTTCAATCAACAAATTTGAATCCAGGAGTCGCTCAATACATGCATGCGATCTCGTTCTTGCCTTTCTTATGGTATACACTTTTTTAAATAGATTTAAGCCCCATCCATACCTCACCAACTCCTCAGTAGGAATATCAAAGTCTTCGGGGAACAAACCGCAAAGCAAAAAAATGGCTTTGGTCTCCTCATCTTGGAGATTGCGGTAGCTCATCTCGAAAACTTCATTTGCAACATTTTTAGTGTCATGGTCCTCTAAACGAGAGAGTGCGTCCTTCCATGAATCCTTTCTTTTATTTCTTAAAGTAAGAGCCATGGTTTTAATGACAATGGGTAAACCATAACACTTCTTTACTATATCTACCCCTATCTGATGAAGCTCATGGTACTGGTCACTAATTTCTACAAACCGGAGGAACAACTTTTGTGCTTCTTCTTCTTCTAAGACTTTGACATTGAGAATTAAATCGGCTTCAACTCCCATCATTGTGCAAATATCTCTTTTTCGTGATGTCAACAAGACCTTGAAGTTGACACCTTGATTTGGAAAAGGAGTACTTAAACCAATATCTTCCAAATCAACAGATTGCCAAACATCGTCGAGTATTACGAGGAACTTTTTCTTACCTCCATCTGAGTTGTCCTTGAACCATTTACAAAGTTTATCTGCTCTTGCTAGTTTAGTGCTTTCATTTAGCTCAATATGCAAGTAATCGGCTACAGCTTTCTGAAGAGCAATAGGGTCCGTCTTTTCCCCTATAACCGCCACAACAACATAATCAAACATTTTCCTCTTTTCCACAACATTCTTTATCTTTTTCATCATTGTGGTCTTCCCCACTCCACCCATCCCACATAAGGCTACCATGTGGCCTTTGTGGTTTGGTCCAAGTGCTTTTAATGCTTCTTTAAAAGTCACCTCTCTTGAACGGAAGTCATCGTGTTCGGTTGATGGTGCAGATGTGGACGCCTTCATGGAATCAAGTACTCTTCCCAAAGGAATGGGATGATCAGTCCAAGTGATTAAAGAGTGTCGTCTCATGGCACTGTCAATCTCCTCAGTTATATTGAAGGCATTCCTCCCGACGGTGTGCCTTATCTTTAGATTGAAGCAACTATTGACGTCACTAGGAACTTTTTCGAATTTTTCGATGATTTTTCCTACATCTTTTAACCACCCATCGACATTGGTTGGAACCTCAAGATGGCTACTAGTGTTTCGAGTCAGGTGTTCTTCAACACCAACTCTTGCAGCCTTTAACTCCGTCATTTTAATACACATGTTCCTCACGTACTTCATGCAGGAAATGATGTAGCGTAGGTAATCATTAATGGGAATCATCAGAATCGGAATAACTTGTTTCATGATTTCATTAGCTGCCTCCATTGTTGGATACGCTTACTTGTAGGAGCACCTACATAGTAGCCAACAATTGATCATATAGAATTCAATGGAAATTAATAATGGATGGAGCAACTACATGCACCCTAGATTCGTTGCATTCAGTAAAGTTGTATTAACTTTGGTCCATAAATGGCCAGTCAAATGATCTAATCCTTAAAAAGGTTATATTATAATCTGAAATGAATTAAAAATATAATGCTATAGAATTCTAAAGAAGACGATAGTAATAGAAATCAAGAAAATGGTTTTTCACAGACTAACTATATAAACGTCAAAATATGATTATGTTAAAAATGATGATGGCAATTACATGCATGCTAGATTCATTTTACCGAGTAAGGTTGGAACTGACGGGTGATGTAAAATGTACATAGAAGTCCACCTCGTAATTAATGATGCATTTCCTATTAACCGGTTGTGTTGCTTAATATTTATGGTTGTATATACAAAATATTAATATAAGCAAAAATTATAACCGAATATGCTGAGACATTGTCTTCTTTGTTGAAAGCGATATGTGGAAACACATCATTTTCAATGAAAATGGCCAAACAATTGTTATTAATAATGACCGACCAACGCTACTCTATCATTTTCACTTTGGATTTAAGAATTGTGACGATACATTAATTCAACATGAGCTATTTTAGTGGATCCTTCGGTTTTTTAAAATAGATATCTATGTTAATTTTTTTGTTAGAAAGATGTATGTCTAATTAAGTATACAAAACCCATGCCTTATAATCTTGTGATAATAATTATTTATAAAATACTAAAGATGTGTTTAGTCATTTAAATAAAATACACGCCACTTTTACCGTACATTCCTCAAAATCTACAAGGACTTTTGTTTAGAACACACAGTCACCCACATGTTTTCTCTCACCTTTTTTTCACTTTCAACTTGGGATATTTTAAGATATCTTACTCATGCATTTTTTCTACAGGGATGCAGCACTTACGGATGTATATTATTTTGTTTGGAACCAAAAAAATCGAAAATCAAAACCAACCAAAAGAGAATTTTGACAAAGCTAAATTTAAAATTCGGTTTTTTCTTTGACTTCAGACCAAACCGAATTTGAATTTGGTTTATGGTTTGAGTTATGGTCCATGATGTCCAGACCAAACCAAACCAAACCGAATTACCATATTACATTTATTTATTTATTAAATAATTTATATTTATATTAATTATTACGTTAAATCTAAATTAAAAATTTATATATATATATATATATATATATATATATATATATATATATATATATATATATATAAAAGCATTTACAATTGACATTGCGAATAATGAATTTGGTTTATGGATTGAGTTAGTCTTTTTTCTTCCGTTTTGTTCAAGTAAGCTTGAGTCTAGGGCACCGCCGATTGAGCGTTGTTCTTTCGCCCACTGTCCCCTCATTCGGTCGTCACTACGACTGTGGTCTCTGCCCCAGTCCTCCACTCACCCACCATCTCTAAAGTCTGAACTCTATGTGTGTAATTTGAACTACCTTATAATTCTGAAATCAGAAGTCCGTTTTTACCATCTTCTTTCAACCATTTATAGTACATTAGAGATTTATAGCTCAATTGAAATTTTGGATTTTATTTTTGAAAGATAAAATTGCAAAAATGGACCTTGTGGTATTTTTATTGTAGTTTTAGCCGAAATACTTAAAATGACGACTATGCCAAGGAATTCTAATTTGGTTTTCGATTTAGAGCCAAAAGAATTTCAAACCTAAGAAACCATAAAGTGAACCAATTCCCATGCCTAGCCGTGCTACCCCCAAATACCCTTGTTGCATCCGCCACTAATATTAATTTTTGTGCCAACTTTAAAGAAAATGTAGATTATTATTATTATGGTAATAGTGTTTGTAATTAAATTATTACAAATAATTGTGATTAGTAGGTGTTTGTTAATAGAGTTAACTACGATATAATTGGTAAAAATAGTCTGTCTTATAATCATTGGCGGACCTACAATAGGGGCAGTGGGGCACTTGCCCCCACAACAAACAAAAAATAATAATAATAATAAATAGGTATATTTTTTTGAAAAAATTATTTTGCCCTTTCAAAATAACATATTTTTACTCTTTAAAATTTTTTTGCCCCCAGAAAATAGATTAAATTATTTTTTGCCCCCTCTTCGAAAAAGTTTTGGGTCCGTCCCTGCTCATAATCCAAAATGATTTTGAAGATAAACTATTGGCATATTAATTTTGAACATGATAGTAACAGGATTTAAGGTTAATTGCAAATAATGATATTCAATTTTGTCATATATAATTTAGTTTGGTACTAATTAGAGCTTGCATGAATATCATAAAAAAACTGAGAAATTGTTATGCTTTGTAACTAATTAGCATAACCAATTTGTTATTCGCTTGGGTCATTCTAACTTAAAAGATCAAATTCCATAATAAAACAATTTTGTAGTCATTTTAAGATATCTAGATATATTTGCTCTTTCTAATCACCACAGTTCTTACCCAGTCCCATATTCATACAATATCTTCTGAATCATCAAGTGCGGAAGTCATAATCTAGGTTCAATTTTGGAAAACATACACAAAAAATCATGGATCCTATTGAAAATGCTTGTAGAATATATAATGCATAAGAAAAGAGAATAATACCTGGACCTTTGCTTTGTTTTTACAATCTTCTTGTCTTAAACCCTCTCAAACTCTCTGAGAATAACATACTTATGAGAAGGGTTTTTAAAGAGAGAAAAACAAAAGCATCAATAGGGAAAAGCAAAAGCATCAAGGATGTTTTATATTAGACGTTTGGGCATGGTGTAGGTTTGGTATCCTAACTTTTTATTTATTTATGGTCTTTTCATTATAATTTAAAGGTAAATCTCGTATATCAAATTTTGAATGTCCTATAAATCTAAAAATAGTAAAATTTAGAGATTAGAAACTAATAATTAGCAATAACTAAATGAAAAAAGGTTTATAATGATATTAATTCAATACCAAGCGAATTATAAAATATTAGATCGTGAGACTATCCATATTATCAAGATTTTACTTTTTAAATTTATTACTAAAAAAGTAGCAAAGAATTTATCATTAACGACATAAAATATAATTTGATAATTTTAAATCTTCTTAGAAATATGGAAGTATGTTATTTCCATTCTGACCTAAAAATTTTGTGTGGTAACTTACATATAAGGGTTTATGACTTTATGTGATTTAGTTTATCTATTCATATTAAATTATCTTGAAGATAAACCAAAATGGATAAACATAGAGAAAACATGGTGCAGTACTGTCTTATGTTTTCAGTGAAATGCAAAAACAAGATTTAACTATATATATAACTTGAACCTATAATGCTATAAATTTTGTTTACAAAAGAAAGATTTTAGTTTGTAGAATTATCTATTAAATCATTATAGTTTGAAAATTCTATCAAAAACCGACAATAGATCTCCATTGGGTCCTGTTATCCCCCCTATCAAACCTATATAGCACGCGCTTTTACATCAATTGCCGGGTTTTTTTTTTTTTTTTTACATACAAACTCTCTATTTTACACGTATGGTCCCTTTACTTTTGAAGTTTTTCAATTCATTTATAATTATTAACAATATTTTTATTATTTTTTTATAACACATTTAAGTATTTTAATTTTTTGTACCAAACAATAACTTAAATTTTATATAGCCCTATTAATTTAAAAGAATAACATATCACTTCATATGTATAATAATTATTACCGTTCTAGTTTTAATGGTTAAATATGTATAATAATTATTATTGTTTTAGTTTTATTGTTTGACAATTTAATTGCAACCTTGATTAATTATTTATAATTGTTTTTATTTATAATAATATTTATTGAAAAATATACTTATATAATTCTATATTTAAAAATGTTATATATATATATATATATATATATATATATAATAAAAATGTCAAATAGGGATAAAAAAAGGGAAGAGGGGCTGATTACCTGTCCCCTTATTCTTTTCTTTGTGCCAAAAAAAAAGGAAAAAGGTGGGCCCCCTTATTACCTTTTCCTTTGATGTATCTTATTGGTTATGTTAACTTTTTAACAAAAAAAAAAAAAAATACTAATCAGGTTAAACTTGAGTTTATTAGTGTAAAAAGCTTTGATATGTTTTAAGATTATATTGATCTCGATTTTTGTAACTTTATTGATGATAATTTGTTTAGTTATCGTCACAGAGTAGAGATTTGCATATTAACTTTGTTGTGAGAGATAGTAGTTGACTAGTTGCTCTTTAATTGAAGTCAAGAAACCTATCATGTTCAATTATTTTAAATTAATTGTTTAAAAAGTCATTTGCTGTTTTATAGATGTATTTCATTGAAATAAAAAAGCTAATTACTTATTTGTGCAACATAGTTATAATTTTATGTAACAAAATGATTTTTGTTACCAATTTGCAAAGCCGTGTTTAATATGTTACCATTTTTTCTACTTTATGCAAAAAAAAAATGGTAAATATATAAGATATAAATCGGTAAATTGATAGGAAAACAAAACTTATGACATAATTTGAAACAAATTCATGAAACAAATAAAACTATGTTTATGGACTTTCCCTTTTAGGCCGGAGAGAGTCGCTCGGTGGCCAAGCTCGCCTCCAGCTCGCTATGAGCGCTAGCACCACTCCCATCAAAGATGCTACAAGAGTCGCTAAGGTTGGGTCATTATTGACATAGCCAGAGGAGAGAAGAGAGAGAAACTTGGATGGTGGGCTCTCAGAAACTTTTTTTTTTCTAAAATAAAACCTATTAAAATAACACATCACCACTCTCTATATCTTGTAACTTAGATGCTACAATTTTCCCCATCTTGTGGCTTCAAAAAATTTTACATGCCATAAAAAAATATTATGTGGCAACATGCTAACTATGCTACCACTCATTCCAATCTTATAGCCTCACAAAACTTTATTCTAATGTTTGCATAAACCTGAAATTTAAATT